TTAAGTCTCAAGCAAATCGGGGTAGGCTAGAGATGAAATCCAAGAGAAACACAAAAAAGACTCGAACCAAAAGGAAGAGATCGAAAAAAAAAAAGGAGAGAGAGAAATGAGCAAAAGTCACGGTTCTGGCACGTTGATAGCTAGCCTCCAAGCGCTCCTATCCACCGCTAAATCCTTGGGGATATTCCAATCTTTAAGCTCTCTCTTAGTATAGTAAAAATTACGAGATGAGAAAAAAATAATGAAAAAAGCTACTTGTATAATTATTTTGTACAACAGTTTATGACAACATGATGTGACATGATGTAGAAAGTTGAGATGCAAATAAATGTATGGTTAAGATTTAGGGATGAAAACGATTGGGAACGATCGGCATAGGGCTCAACCATTTCCACTTTCATATTTTTTTCTCGAAAACGAAAATGATACGATAATGTTGGAAACGAAAACGACATCGGTATTCCGGTAATATCGAAAACGAAACTATCTGATCGAAAATACATCGATAACGATCGAAATATATTAAAACGGTATTTAAAAAACGATAAACACACCACATTATAAAATATAGCATTAAAATATAAATTGAAATATTCTCACGGCATAATAGTGGCAAAATCCAAATTAAAATCCACTCCATTTGCTATAACAAAATCCATACAAATTCCAATAACTAGCAATTGAATTGTGACTTGTCCATCAAATTCTCATGGAATAATAGTAGCAATTGAAATTTGAAACATGAAATGTGTAATGCCCCGTTTATTTGTGGATTATTTGGGATTTATTAATATTATTTTTATTGCTATTATTATTGTTATTATTAATTGGTGATAATATTTATATTTTATTTTATTGAATGCCATTATGTTTATTTATTTGTCAAATGTGATTAAATGCTAATTGTGAAATTTGTTTAATTGTTTATTTGATTTTGTGATTTATTAAATTATTAATATGAATAAATGTGTATGTGATAATGTGTAAAATATATATATTTATTTTTTCGATTTATTTTTATCGCGCGTTTGCATTCGAAATCGAGCCCGATAATTTTCGTTGGAATCGAAATTGGGCCCGAGAATATCTGTTTAAATTTTTATTTGAGCCCGTGAGCTGTTTTGTTATCCCAACTGGCCCAAAAACCAACCGGCCCAAAAATCCTATTGGCCCAAATTTCTCGGGCCCGGCCCGACAGATTTTCCTTTTCTTTTATGTTGGGCGTGATTTTGTGTTGTCTTGGACAACAAGAAATTTTGTTTCTTTTCCCAAACCTAATATACGTATGAGTATATATAGGTATATATATATATATCGTCTCTTTTGTTCTCTTCATCAAAAATAAAGTCGCAGCTCTATTTTCCTTGGCAGAGAAAAAAACAATCGCGATTTGCTTTTTCTTCTCCTCTGTGATTGTCTTTTTTTTTCGAACGTCTTCATCACCATCATCAATCATTATCATCATCATCCTTCATCACCATCTTCGTTCGTCACCATCTTTATCACCTTCGCTGTGATTTTCGCCGATCATCTCCATCGTTCTCTCATCACCTCCGGCCCTTCCCCTCTGTTCGTGAGCCTCGCCGGCGTGAAGTTTTCCGGCTGAACGCCACCACAGCGAAGCCGCAACCTGCCGCTGCTCGCTGCTCCTCCGCACATCGTCCATCAACGTCGGCGTGATGAAACCAGTCCGACGACCCTGCTCCGCGTTTTTCCGGCGAGTTCAAGCAGCCCTCCTGCCACCGCGCTGCGAAGCTCTGAATTTTCCGGCGAGCTCGACGTCCCTTCGAGTAACGTCCGGCGACCCTCCCTTTCCGTTCTCGGAGAGCCCGTGAACCAGCAGCAAGCTTCCCTCTTCCTCCCGTGCACGTCGAGCCTTCCTTTTTCCGGCGAGACGAGTTAACCGTCGAGCTTCTTGTTCGTGACGTTTTCGAATTTCCCGAGAACGGTACCTCGTCGTTTTTCCGTCTCGTTTAATTCATATATGTTCGTTAAATTGTTCATATTCATGTTGTGCTCGTGTTATATATATAATGTGAATTTATTGTTGAATAAGTGCAAATATATTGAATTGTTGTGATTATTGTGTTCGTATGTTCGGGATCTCTTCGATTTTCTCGAAAATCGAACGAGACTTCGAAAGTCGTGTAAGTCGGTGGATAATAAAACAATGTCGAGTCCTTGGTCTTATGAAAAGGCCTCGGACGATAAATTGTGTGTTGTGATTTAATTGTCAAGTTGTCGAGCTTGTTAATCGCTGTTTTGATGTTCGAATTTTTAAAAATAGCTCGCTGCTCGAAACGATGTGAAATTTT